GGATCAGGGTGGGGTCCCACTGGGTGCCTGCCAGCCTGGGTGAGGGGTTGAGGGCCGTTTCAGGCTGTCCACACCCCCTTCAGGGTGGGGGTCCCCACTGGGGTGCCTGGCCAGCCTGGGTGAGGGGCTGGTGGCTGTTTTCAGGCTAGCCAAGCCCCCCAGCGGGGACCCTCACCCCATGGGGGTTTGGCCAGCCTGGGTGAGGGGTTGAGGGCCGTTTTCAGGCTGGCCACAGCCCCTTCAGGGTGGGGGGGGCCACACTGGGGTGCCTGGCCAGCCTGGGTGAGGGGCTGATGGCCATTTTCAGGCTGGCCATGCCCACAAGCAGGCTGGAAGCAGGTATCTGGGATTTATTTATCTTCTATAATTGAAACTTTGTAGCCTTGAGCGGAGCTCAGGGCCAGCAGGACAGGTGGGAAGCTTGGCTTCCTCCATTGCTGGGGGCAACCCAAGCCTCCTGCTAGCTCCAGCTTCATGGCCGCTGCCATCTTAGTTGGGTTAATTTGCATACTCACTCCTGATTGGCTTGTGGGCGTGGCTTGTGGGTATAGGGGAGATACGGTTAATTTGCATGTTTCTCTTTTATTAGATTAGATAGAATTTTAGTCCTAGAGACCAATATCTGGGAAAACCACAAGAAGGAAACATTATTCCAAGAAGTCTTGTTTTTCTTTCTTCCCCAGTTCTGAGCCTCCAGTCGCTCTTCCTGCCGGTGTCTACCTTCTGCACCCTCTCTCCCCACATCCAACATCTCCCCGCTCTTACCTATAAAACAGAGTGCCTGCTTCCACACATTTGTGGTTTGTTCTTTAAAGTGAATAGTATCTTTCTAAAAACCCCAGCGAAACGAAAACCGTCCTTTTTAACGATACTTCATGTGAGCCGGGATCTGAGTCTATGTTGTGCTTCTTTGATTCACGCAGTTGAGGCTGGAGGGGAAGCAACTGGAGACGATTGGACAATGGCCTCTCCACACGGCCGCGCCGGGGACGGGAACGGGAACGGGAACGGGAACGGGGCGGAGGCGGGCGGAGGGCCCGGGGGCGGCGGCCTCGCCGGCAGCCCAAGCCCCCGCCTCCCGCGGGTCCGGAGGCCGTGGCGTCGCGGGGATCGGGGCTCGTGCCGCAGCGGTTGCGTCAAGGGAGCCCCGCCGGGAGAGCGCCATGCGGGCCGACTCGGCGCTGCCGCTGGGTGGGCCGCCCGGTGAGCGGCGAGGTGCGCCGGGCTCGCCAGGGGCGGGGAGGGGGGGCCCTCAGGCTGCGGGTCGGTGAGGGGACCCCGGGGGAACGCGCATCGCCCCCCGGCGGCCCGCGGGATGGGACGGAGCGGTGCGGGGCGGGGAGGCCCTTCCCAGCCGGGAGGGAGGTTTCTGGGCCCAGCGATCGTGTTGCCTTGACGACGCCTCCCTCCCCGGTCGCCCGGCCCGCGGGTGGGAATGCCCGCCGCTCCCGGAGGCCGGGTTTTGCCCGTGGAAACCGTGAATCATGGGCATCTCTCCCGTTTCTCGCAGATCACTTGGGAAACCCTGGGGGGGCGTGACTGCACCCCACGCCCGCTGGCGTCTCCCCCGGGGCAGGTCAGCCGCGACGCGACACCCCTCTCCAGCCGGGGTCCCCGGCGAGGCCGGGCCGAGCCCCCCCAACGCTCTCCCGCCGCAGGAGGGGGCTGCGGGCTGGGACGCACTGCGCCTGCGCGCGGCCGACCCGCGCGGGGAGGGGGGTGTGAGAAAGGGGGGGCGGCGAGAAAGGGGGGGCTTGAGGAAGAATGGGGAGGAAGCAGGTGGAGAGCGCGCCTCCGTTACCGGTGAGTTGTTGGACTTTTGCATTCGGTTGAACGGTGGGGTTTGGGACGGGTGACGTGTCACTGTGGCGGGACTTTTGAAACGCGGGGTTGTGAGAAGGGACCTTTGGGTGGAACGCTCTGCCTCTGCGCAGCATCCTTAGAACAGAAGCGACGGGGTCGTGTGAAGGCAGCCGGCCTGCCCGCACCTGGTGGCATTTCTGTGAACACAGTTTAAGCGAGAGGATGGCCAAACGGGACGCTGCAGAGTGAACGGCAGCGGTCTGAGTGCGAACCCTTTGGAAGCGATGTTCTTGGCACATGGAACTGATATGTAGGCATTTCTGTTAGCATTTTATTTTGCAAGATTCTGGGGTGCTTCTTAACTGTAATCTCTCTGAGCTACAAATGCAACCCTTCTTATTCATGTAAAGCAGCATTTCTAAGGGCTCCCCTCCATTCTTTCTGTCCCAAAATGCATCCTTCCTCCTGTATTCAGAGGGATCTTTTTTTAAAAAAGTATGTGAATATGTGGCTTAAAACGCCCATCGGCTTCCTGTTAATGAATTAAAACAAAATCTAGATTCCTCCCCTCCGTCTTCAGGACCCTAATAATCTGACCTCTGCCCACCTCTCCGTGGTTCCTGCTGCAGCCTTCCTGGCCTTTTACCTGGGACCCTCCAAGCCCCATAGCCCCCAAGGCTTTTGTATTTGCTGCTCTTTGTGGAAAATGTAGGCTCCTTTCCCACTCAGTCTCAGCTCGGATATCTGAGAGATCTCTGAACGTCAAATTCCGTGAAAGCAGGGTCTCTTCCTTTTGTTCATAAATGTATTCTTAGTGCTCAGAACAGGGCCTGGCCCGTAAAGGTACATAGAGAGGAAGGCATTTTATATGAAATTTAAGTATTGCCCATTTGGTTCTCATCAGCTCCTCCTGGCTTCCACTGGTGAACAGTAGTCAAAAGATTTGAAATACGGGAAGTAAAGCTGCTCTCGGCTTTTACTTACGAGTAATTTTCTTCTTTCCCCATAGCGTCCTCCACGAGCCCTCCCACCCGTGCCAAGGTAAAAGTACAGTACTTTTATTATGGGGTTCTAAAAGTGCAAAATGAATAAAGTGAAAAATTGACCACCATTGCAAATCCATCATAATGCAGGAAAGATTTCTTGATATTTTTAAGAAAAGGCTTCTTAACAGTTTAAAGGTGAAAAATCCCTGAATCATTAGGGTAACAGTTACAATGAAATGTTCTGTTTCAAAGCCTGACTATGAACACGGGGAGGATAATGGATCTATTCTGAATGTTTTAGTGTCCTGTTTAGCAGAATCCTGGCCGCCTTTTGTTTCCTAGAATAGTTTCCTCAGAGTTTAAGCTGATTTTAGTCAGTGACCGACTAAGAGTTCTTAATCTGTTTAATCTACTTTATTAATAGATAGAAGGGAGGGTGTATATGGAGATTCAGAAAATATTGGGGTTATTTTATTAGCAGGTTTACTAGTTTATTATTTGTAAGTAAGCCAGTTTGTAAATGAGCAAACTTTGTGTGAAAACTATTTTTATTTTAAATTTGCAATGATTTAAGTCAGTTTTCAGTTTGACAGTGTTATAGATTTCTAATTAATAGAGTTTCTTTTTTTTTTTTGTCTTTGTCCTGATTAAATTTGGTCGGTGTCATGTAAAGTGCTGTTCAAGGTGAGTTCACTGTTAATGTAAAATTTTCTAAATATGGTATTTAATGTTCAAAAGTTTAATTTGTTAATGTTTCTCTTAAAATTGAATCTGGGTGGTATAATTTATAATAATACAGTATCTTTATCATAATAATCTATGGCTGCCATTTTTAAGTGATGGTTGATAAATAACACTAGTTATATGGTTGGTATTTGACCTTATAAATATAAAAGCATTCATTCCTGTATGGAGTCACCCTAATCATAGCTCATAGCTAGTTATCGTTCTGTATTAGGGACTGCATTTTCCTTTGTCTCATTTAGTCAGGATAGACTGGGTTATGCTACACAACCCCAAAATCTCAGTGACTTAATATCATATAAGGTTATATCTGGTTAATGCAAAGTCCATTGTGGCAACCAATCAGGGCATTTGCCTTTCACTGCCTCTTCACTAATGAGGTAGTGATTCAGTCTGCTTCTGTCCTGTGGTTTTGCCATCTCAACATGAGGTCTCCTCAGTTGTCAAGGGAAGAGAAAGCTGGAGGGCTTCTCCCTGGCTCTTTCAGTGTTCTGGCCTCCAAATGACACAGATTGCATCTCTCATAGTCTATTGACCAGAACCAGCCACAGGCCTAAGTTGGGGATCAGCTGAATACTTGGTGAGCACACTTTCTGGGTCCCTGTTCCTGACATTGCTGACCAGCAGCGAGCTCTTAGTACTACACTGTGGGCTCTCTTTGACTTTGTCAATTTCTTACCTTCTTTCCCTTCATGTATAGGTGTTGGCTGGACCCAAAGAAGAGAGGGAAAGGTCTTCCCTAATAAAAGTGCCCTTTTGAAAAAACTGTTCCCTGCCTAGAATTTTAGGCAGCCTTTTCTGTTCTTTTTGTTTTATAGATGAGGTTCCACTTAGTCGTCCCAAGAAAAAGAAGCCGAGAACGAAAACCATGCTAGGTAAGAAGTTGCTCTTTGTTGTGTGGAGCCACGGGTTTTCCCAGGACCTCTGGCATGATGAACATCAGATCAGGGAGAGACAGGTCCCAGCAGTGCAGCGTCACTGCTGTGCTGAGGTCACCTTGAAGCAGTGGGACTCCAGGTGGTAGTGAGGGACTGTCAGTGAGCAGCCTGAAGAGTGCCTAGAAGGATTCATAAAATAAAGGGTTGTGCCACCAACACTCTCACTTCCACTACATTCTTGGACTCTTGGAGGTCCTTTATCCCTGGACAACATAAGTTATCTTAAGCTATGGTTGGTTCCAGACCCTTGAACAGGTTACTGGATTTAGAGACATGGAGTTCTTGGATCTCTCATTTTAAATATATATTTTAAAATATATATTTATTGATTTCAGAGAGGAAGGGAGAGGGAGAGAGAGATAGAAACATCAATGATGAGAGAGAATCATTGATCGGCTGCCTCCTGCACGCCCCCAACTGGGGATCGAGCCACAACCCGGGCATGTGCCCTTGACTGGAATCGAACCTGGGACCTTTCAGTCCACAGGCTGATGCTCTATCCACTGAGCCAAACCAGCTAGGGATTGGATCTCTCATTTTAGCCCAAGAATATCTATGTTAGAGCATGAGTCTGAAGGCAGGTATTAAAGCCCCAATAATGAGCAAGTTCTATGAACTCCTTTTTGTTTAGTTAATCCTGGATGCTCTGTCAGTAGCTCAGACTCGCACATCAGAATTCATCACCTTCAACAATAAATCAATTTTTACTTCTCACAAATTTCTGTTAATGGAACCCACCACTCTCCCAGTCAGTCACTCAGGCTGGAAGCCTCAGTGTCACTGCTAACTGGTCCCTTCACTCTATTTGCTTGCTTCTTCTATGACATTTCTTGTGTCTCTTTCCCCTTTCGTTTCCACTGTCACAACTGTAGGCCATTTAGCCCCTTTCCTCTTCTGAGCTATCGGATTAGCCTCCGACATTGTGCTGCTCGCTCTCTTTCACTCAAGTCCTGCCCACCACTGCTGGATGAGCTTCTTAAAGCTCCTAGCTGGTCAAACCTCTCACTCGGTCAGAAACTTCTTTTCGCTTATCATCGATTGTCTAACAAATGGAGGGATAGATGGGGGAAAAGAAAGACATGGAGATGGACGCAGAGAAAGAGAAAAAGACATGTAGACACAGACAAAAAAAGGAAAGAGATTCAAAGAGACTTGGATTCACAAAGATACTGAAATGTCAGGCTCTAATAATTCACTCACAGTTAAATACAGACATGTGCATCTGCACTTAGGAAGGTAACGAGTGGAGGAAACAGTGAAGACAGTTGGAGCAGAGGTATGGCTACCAGCGCTTCCTTGTACAGAAGAGAAAATGAAGATTCGGTGCTCTAGACAAAAAAGGGGATGCATTGCTAGGCGTTTATTAAAACTGTTCATTTAGGTTATTTCAAATTTTTCACTTCCACAATTTTGCAATTCTGAAATGATGGATTGTGGGGAAGAAGAGCTATTTCTGGAGGATGGATTGCTAGCAGTGAAATTGCTAGACAAAGGACCTGTGTGCATTAGTAATATGATAAGATTCTGCTAAATTGCCTTTAAGGAAGCTTTAGGCATTTGCTAAATCCTTGACAACATTGGACAATATCAGTCCTTTAAATTTTGTCAATCTAGTGGGCAAAAGTGCTTATTTTAGTTTTTTATTTATCTGAATACTAATGAGATTAAGCATATTTTATTTGTTTATTAATACATATTTGTCCTTTTGTGAAGAAGATGGGCACAGGAATATAGTCAAGTAAAATTCAAATATGCTGAAATGTGTCAGAATCTGTTCAAAGACTTGATGACGGGAGAGATTGAAATGAATGGCCAAATAAAAAGATTTATAAATTATCTGTTAACCCATTTATCCAAGGTGATGTTATCACGTGTTAATTTACTAGTGAAGTACTAAACTATATAGGAGCTGAAAATTCTTAAGGCATAAGACAAATAGGAGAGTTCGCTGGGGCGACAGCTTCTGTTATGTTGTTACCTTATTGTGAAAATGGAAATTCTGAAGCAAATTCTCCTCTTCCTTTTGTTCTTCTTCTTTCTAACATCCCCCCTTTTTTCTTCTTCATTCTCCCTTGTTCCTTCCTTTATTTCTTTTCTCAACTTAAAATTCGAAGTTACAAGGGAGGAGAAAGGAAATCAAGATTGGTTTTGTAGGAGAAGGGGTTATTACATAGGAAACATTCCAGTTTCCTCTTTTTACGACTCAGTGGTCTCTGTTCAAGTTATCCCCCCCTTTTTTTTTTACTCTATTTCTGTAGCAAGTGCTTCTTTGGAAGGTCTTGTTCAGACTGCTATTCATAGGCCATCTGAGAGCAGCGAGCCACCAACTAAAGAACTCGCAGAGCACCCAGAAGCTCCTGTTCAGAGAAGACAGAAGACAAGGGTACCTCTTGGTATGTAAAAGCAACCAGGTTAGGTTGTGATTTTGGGTGTATGAGTAAAAACCCGAATGTCCCCATTCCCCTCCCATATCCCTTTATTTTTCCTGCTTGCTTACATTTTTTATCACTAGAGTTGCTCTAATGGGTTAAGTCAAGAACACTTTAGAGGGTCTCTTTTGATTCTATGTGTGTAGATTATGAGGGAAGTGGTACAAATTCAGGACTAAAATGGAAAGTTTGGATTTTGATGTGTAGAAGAATTTAGTATATGACGAAACAGATATTTAAGATTAGTGGGGGAGGGATAGATTCTCTATTAACAATAATATAGCAACAGCTAACATTTATTGAGTTTTTCTGTGTCTCAGGGACTGTTCACAAGGTAGACAAGGCTATATCATTTATTTTGCCTATCAAATTAGCAATGCCTTTAAAAATTTATAAAATACAAAAGTGTTGATGAGAAAAGGATACACTCATACACTGCTGATAGGAGTATAAAATGGTATAACCTGTTCAAACTTATAGGAGTAGAAGTAACTACAACAGCTACAGTAATTAAAGGAGGTTAACTGCATTATTATTTATAAGAGCAGAAACTGGTAATATCAAACATTTAACAATGTGATAATGCCCAAATAAAACATGTTATCCATTTAATAGAAACCAAGTACTCATTAACAGGATTGTTTTGGTGATATTGTGATATGGAAAACCATCAGTAATATATTGTTGAGTCAAAAACAAAGGTTGTAAAATAGGATGTATCAGAGGAGCCCATTTTGTAAAATATGTGCATTAATTTTTAGGGCTGTCTTAACAGATTGCCACAAACTGAGGGACTTCAAACAACAGAAATTTAGTCTCAGACAGATCTGGAGGATAGAAGTTCAGGAGCGAGGTGTGCGCAGGGCCACGCCCCCTCCGCAGGCTCTAGGAAAGAACCCGGCTTTGCCTCTTCTAGCTTCTGGTGGCTCCTAGCAGTCCTTGGCTCATGACAGCATAATGCCATTCTGTGCCTGTCTTTACATTCTTCCATGTGTGTCGCTGTTGGGTAATTTTCCCCATACTTTTGGCATTGCAATGTCAAACATTTTGTTGTGTTTAGAGGTCTAAAAAATTTTAAATCAAATGCAAAACAATGTTGCCCAATTAAAAATTTTAAGGTTCTCTTGTATTACAAAAGTCTTGTATATGACTTTTCTTTTTATATTATAGTAATTAAAAAATTACATATATATATATATATATATATATATATATATATATATATTTTTTTTTTTTTTTTTTCCCCCAGAATTGGAGACTGCCTTCACCCAGGAGACATCTAGTCCATCTTCATTACGGAATGAAAATGGTATCGATGTGGAGCCAGCTGAGGAGCCCATTATTAAAAAACCTCGAAGGAAGACAAAGTAAGGATTTATTTGTTCTTCTAAATATCCTTAAGGAACACTCTGATGCTTAATTTGGAGCTTCCAAATGATAGCTTCCGATGAAATCTGATAAATACTTGTATATCTCTAAGATAAGTAGTATTACAAAGATATCAGTTAAACCAATCTAATGACAATTTGAAAAGTGTAGACCACTGAGAAAAGTAAAATGCTGTACTTGAATAAAAATTTTTAGGAACTGTCTCTAAAAAAGAGAAACACAAGTAGATGATTTTATATAAATAGCAAAATATTACATATTCAAGATCTTAAAAATTAAAGGTAATATTAATAAAATAGGCTATTGTAATTTATTTTCTCATTTTATCAAACTTATGTTTTGATTATTTCAGCAATAAATAATAATGTTTAATTTAGCATAGGATTCAGTGTTAGATAAAATAGAATGACATACTTTAAAGAAGCACCCTGAAATTATATAACACTATTACATATTTGTGTTTAGACATGACCCTATAAATAGTAATCAATGTCCATATAAAATGATATAATTTTAAGTCTGGAAAGAACCTTACAATCTAGTTCAGTCATTTCATTGCCCGGAGGATAAAACTGAGGCCTACATAGCAGTTAATAACTGATTTGTTTGAGTAAAATCCAAATTTCTCTGCTCAAAGTCCAGGGCTCTTTTCATTCTACTCACAGGTACCTCCTTATGTGGGTTTGTAAAAATTCAGTAAGCACCCAGTTTTCTTACTTTCTCCCTGATTCCAGGAAGGCCCGGCCAGCAGAATTGCAGTATGCCAATGAGCTAGGAGTAGAAGATGAAGACATAATTACTGATGAGCACAGGAGTCCAGAACAACAGTCTGTATTCACTGCGCCCACTGGCATTAGCCAGCCTGTAGACAAAGTGTTTGTGGAAAAAAGCCGTAAGTAGTTCCTTGTTTGGAATATGAGCTTTTTAAAAGTATGTAAGGCTATCCTTTGACCTAGGAATTATACTTCTGGACATCTGAATTAAGGCAATAAGCAAAAACATGGACAAAAATGTATACACCAAGCTAATCATCACACTGTTATTCACGAGAGCGAAAAACAGGAAATGACCTAAATATAAAAAGAGCAGGGGAATGATTTCAGTAAGGTATGCTTTATCTATACAATAAAATCTGCATCATTAAAAATAGTGTTTAGGGCCGAAACTGGTTTGGCTCAGTGGATAGAGCGTCGGCCCGCGGACTGAAGGGTCCCAGGTTCGATTCCGGTCAAGGGCATGTACCTGGGTTGCGGGCACATCCCAAGTAGGGGGTGTGCAGGAGGCAGCTGATCGATGTTTCTCTCTCATCGATGTTTCTGACTCTCTATCTCTCTCCCTTCCGCTCTGTAAAAAATCAATAAAATATATTTTAAAAAAATAGTGTTTAGGGAGAATTTTACATTTTGTGGAAAAATTCTAATGAAAAATAAACTTACGTACACAGATAGTTTAATCTCAACTATAGCAGGCACAGGACAAAAGACTAGAAGGAAATAGACCTGGTTGTTTCTGGGTTATGAGATTTTGGATAATTTTTTAAATCTCCCCTTACCCTTCACCCATTTCTTTATTCTCTGTAGTACTTCAACAGTTTTCTGCAATTGGTAGAGGTGTTGGTGGTAGGGCAGGTAATGATATAAATTCTTTAATGAAGAATAAACAAGAGAACATACATGACGGTATCACCATATTACATAAGAAATATATTATAACTGTATATTCTTTTGGAAATAGTTCTGATGAACTGGTTATAAGACTGCATTTGCAGTGTTTTAAGAAAAACTTCCTGAGAGCATGGTCATGACCATATGCTCCTCCCATGGATATGCTGTCAATGTGCTGCCTAAGAACTCGTCTGGAACATAAAGACTAGCCCTTAAAATTTACAGCTTAGGTTTTATGTACGTTGTTTAAACTGTGGTTGTGTAATACCCCATCTAAGGGACCTTCGCCAGCAAGAAACCTGTGGCCTGGAGAGACTGACTTAGCCAGGGTCTCACAGTCCGTTAGTGCAGGACTGGGATTCAGAGTCTCATGATTTACGGGTAGACCTGTGGCTATTTAACACACTGCAGGCTATTTTCAAGCAGTGTCACTCTGTTTTTATTCTTGCTTCCCTTGCACAGAAACTTCCCTAATAGAGTAACTGACTGTAAAAAAATACTAGTTTCTGTCCAAAAGTTGTCTTTTCTTAGGAAAAATTAGGTGATAAACCCCTGACTTTTGTTCTCCAACGTACCCGGCAGCCAGGTTTGGCGAGCAAGACTATGGTGGAACCTCTCCTGCTGCCTGAGGTCCATTGTGACTGGTAGACGTGAGAAGGGACCTCCTGGTCAACAGTAAAGGGATAGAGCTCTGCTCACACAGTGCTGCAGGCTGGCGCTTGAACTGGTACTTGCACAGGAATCTTCCTAGACGTTTATGAAACAATCCATTTCTTTCCTGTCATCACAGAGCATGTGCCATGCTACACACACTGGGGTCTTTTCCTGAGAATGTAAAGGGTTTTCAGATAGTGGCGTACCTCTGTAGTGTTGACATTTAAACTTGAGCACTTCTAAAATCTCTAAATGAGAAGATATTAGACGCTGTCATCTTAAAGGTTTCTAGACTTTTTTTCTTAGTTGGAAGTTCATTATTTTATTTCATTAAAAATAGTCAAGGGGGTTAATGAGGGGGATAAGGACACATTTGTAATACCTTAACTAATAAAGAATTAAAAAAAAAGTCAATTTCCTAAACTGTTACTTCAACATCTCTTTGGTTTGAGAAGGAAGCACGTGGACACGCTCGTTCTAAGGGTTCTTAAGGGTGGAATAATTTTTAAAAAGACCAGCAGGTTCTCTCTTGTTGGTGGATAACTGTGTAATGTGCTCTTAGGGCGATTCCAGGCCACCGACCGTTCAGAGTTGATAAAGACCACAGAGAACGCAGACGTGTCGATGGACACGAAGCCCTCCTGGACGACCAGGGACGTCGCCCTCTCGGTGCACCGGGCTTTCAGGTGGCTGCCGTTGGACTTTTCTTAACACAAAAATTCTATAATTTTTTTAAAAAGTGTTGATTGCCCTAACCGGTTTGGCTCAGTGGATAGAGCGTCAGCCTGCAGACTGAGGGGTCCCAAGTTCGATTCCGGCCAAGGGCATGTACCTTGGTTGCGGGCACATCCCCAGTAGGGGGTGTGCAGGAGGCAGCTGATCAATGTCTCTCTCTCATTGATGTTTCTAACTCTCTATCCCTCTCTCTTCCTCTCTGTAAAAAAATCAATAAAATATATATATTTTTAAAAAGTGTTGATTGCTCAACACTGTTAAATAAGAAAATGCTTGATTTTACTTTTTTTAAAATGTTGAATTTTATTCTTATATGTGAATAGGTTTTAAAAGTATTTTAGCCTTTGACTTTAGTAATTCATGCGTAATAATAAAACCCTTTTCCATTCAGGATGGTGGGTCTGTTTTCTCATGGCTTCTTGGCTGGCTGTGCTGTGTGGAATATTATTGTGATATATGTTCTAGCAGGACATCAGCTTTCTAACCTCCCCAACCTTCTGCAACAATACAAGACATTAGCATATCCATTCCAGAGTCTTCTCTACTTGCTTTTGGCTCTAAGTACAGTTTCAGCTTTTGACAGGTAAGACTGCTGTGACTATAGATCCTTCTAACTTTTCTTCAGGGGGAAATGTTGAGCAAAATGTGTCACTGACAATGACAACTTTCAAAATAGAATTGTTTTGACTTCTTTAGGCCAGTCTGTTATTTGCGGGAGGGAGTTGGAGGTGGGAATACTGTGGGGGGAAAAAACAACACCCAAAAGTCTTAACTCATTTCGGCATCACTCTAAGTCTAAAATTCAAATATAATCAATTCAAAAAGTCCAAAATATAATCTTCCAAATACTTTTAATCAGCTATCGAAGAGAGTCTGGGTATTCCATCAGTTTACTGGGGTTACTATAGCAAAGTACAACAAACTGGGTGGCTTAAAACAACAGGAATTGATGCTCTCACATTCTGGAAGCTAGGAGTCTGAACTCAGGGTGTCACAAGGTTGGCTCCCTTTTGGAGGGCTCCAAGAGAGAGCCTGTTCCATGCCTCTCCTAGCTTCCGGTGTTGCTGGTCATCCCGGTTCCTGGGCTTGTAGACTCATCACTCCCGTCTCTGCCTCTGTTGTCACATGGCAGGCTTTCTGAGTGTCTTGGTGCCTGTGTCTCTTCTTTTAAGGTCACATTGGATTACGGTCCATTCTGATGGCCTCATCTTAACTTGATCACGGCTGCAAAGACCCTATTTCCTTAAAGCTTAACAAGAGACAATAAACGTGGTGGCATTAGAACAGAGAAGGAAAAACGCTAGTCACGTTTTGTAAGAAGGTTATGGTTGCACTGTGACAAGAGACTTTTGTATTTTCTAGGATTGACTTTGCCAAAACATCAGTAGCAATCCGAAATTTTCTTTCCCTGGATCCAACAGCTTTTGCATCTTTCTGTGAGTAAATAGTTTAATTTGATAACTGTGTTATACTTGCGTTACATTGTAATTTTGAACAAGGAAAAGTTTAATTTTATTTTTTAAAAGATTTTATGTTATTGCTACCAATAAGCATTACTTATAGATGTTCAGTAGAATTTGTAATTTAAAAAACATGGTAACTGTAATTTTGATAACATTATTTTTCAATAGAAGTTGAGCTTAGTAACTTTCAAAAGTTTAATTTGTTCTTATTAAGTAATTTTTAGCTTTTCTATTTTTACTTGACATTAAACAGATTGAGCTGGCATAGCATTTCAGGAACAAATGATATCTTTGGATAATTTGGAATACATTTTGTTCTGTTATGAAAATATTAACGAAACTAGTTTTAGGACCTTGAGTCAGTTATTTAATTTATTAAAAGATCTTCTAGGTTCTAGTCATTTCTAAAGATAAACTAGTGAGCATCACAAAAGTATCTGTGTTCTTAAAAAATAATCCAGCCTATTGAAATTGATCAAATGAATTTCTTTTATATTGTCATTCCCTAAAGTACAATTACTTTTGGCCTTAAAGTAATCTATAAATTAAAAATAAACTTGACTGTTAAAAGTACATTATTAGTAATTTCATTTATCTTTTTCTCAGTGTACTTCGCTGCTCTTATACTATCTCTGAGTCAGCAAATGACAAGTGACAGAATCCACCTTTACACACCTTCTTCTGTTAATGGCAGCCTCTGGTAAGATTCAAATGGCATTCGCAATTATTGGTGGTAATAACAGCGACAGTGGGAGTAATGGCACTATTCTAAGCCTTCCACTCTTTTACATGTTTTTGTCTTCAAAATTGTGGCAAGAAAATGCCCATTTCATTTTTTAATGGATACCTATTGTTACAAACACCTGCATTTTTAATGAAATGTCTTCTTTTTATGATCTGTTTTAAATCTCTTAAGTTATGGTTTTAAAATATGTCATTACATGATGAACTGGAAGAGCCTGGCACCCTCACCCCCAATCTGGAGCCTAATACCTCAGAATAGTGATGGAGGGAGGAGCGGGGATCGAGTCGGAAAACCAAGCAATGGGGAGAGCAGACTAGGGCGCGCCACCCTCCTCGGGCCAGAGGCCAACCATGGAGCTAACAGGACAACTGAGATTTTAGTTCACAAATCTCAGAGTGGGGGGTCTTTTTTTGAAAGAGTGGCTAGAGGCATGAGGTAAAGAGAGAAAGGAAAGATACCTCATGACGAGTAAGTTTAATTTGTTCTTATTACGTAATATTTAGCTTTTGTATTTCTACTTGACATTAAACAGACTGAGCTGTAGTTGAGCACCACAGTAGTTGCAAGGGAAACCTAGAAAAAACTTTGGCAACACCGAATTTCCATTTATATCACTGCACTAAGCCTGTGTGCTTAGTACCTTTGTAGCTTTGTTTTCATGATACGTATTTATGACATATATACTATATATATGGTTGTATTTTATAGGGCATCATATTTTATTTCACTCTTTCCTTGCTATTCCTGTAGATGAGGACTGCTATTTTTTAAAGTTCATAAAATAGATATATTTAGGTACGTGAACAAAAATGAAGACATTAATAATGAGTATTTCTGTATCTTTAGGGCGGCAGGAAATGAGGAGCAGGTTCTCCAGCCGTGGATCCTGGTGAATCTGGCAGTGACCATTCTGGTTGGACTGTCTTGGCTTTTCTTGTCTTACAGGCCAGGCATGGATCTTAGCGAAGGTATTAAAGAACAAATAGTATAAGCATATCATGGAATCTTGTATAATGATTTTAGAAATCTTTGTTGACTGTAGCTTATGATAATTGTGATAACAAAGAGATATGTAAAATAAAATAACATAAGAAGAGTGACAATAAAGTGGTGGAACAATACTAAGAGAAGCAGAGAGGAGTGTCTAGGGGGGCTGGGGTTTGGAAGTGCTGAATGAGGCCCTCTGTGGCCCTGGTGCATACTTAGGAAGTTTTTGTTTTTTTTAACCCTTCAAGTGTTTTATAGAAAGTCTTTGCTCTTCATTTCTCCTACTCTCCTTACAATCAATGTATCTCTTTATTTTATTTTTATTGCAGTTTTATTAATATTATTGTATTAATATTACTTCAGTATTATTTTGTACTAGTTGCTGGCGTACAGCACAGTGGTCAGAGAGTCATACACTTCACAAGGTCAAATATCTCTTAATTTGAAATAAATCACGCTTCATCTAAGCAGCCTCTGTCAGATGCAAATTAAAGTGAATTATTCTGACCTCTTCCTCTACGTTGAACAGATTCTTAACCTTTCATTGTCTAATAACGTGTCGAGTAACCTGACCTTCAGTGTGCCCCGTGGGAAGTGAGATTTACTGGTCTCTACTTCTCAGACCCCGCTGGGACCCCTGGAGGAGAGGCGTCATATTGGCAAACTGCTGGTCCTTCAGCACCCATTTAGGTGTTTGTAGTGTAAGTTGTATTTCATTGGCAGATGTTCCACACTTTCACCCTTGAACCTCTGTGATACTTTCTGGACTTTGGTTATTATTACGTTCTTGATTGTTGAACATCCTGAGCATTTAGCTGCAATTTGATCAACTGATTACAAACTGTCTCAGAAGTGTTAGAATTGAGAACCTTCCCAACATTTCCATTTGTAAACACCAAGACAAAAAATGTAATCTTGTGTATTTTGATTGATGAATGTACCTTTTTGTATCGTCATTCTTTTTTTTTTAAATTTTGTTTTATTGCTTAAGGTATTACAAAGAGTATTACATATGTCTCCTTTTTTTTCCCCCTTGACCTTCCCCCGGCCTCCCCTAAACGCCAGTGTCTTGTGTATCGTCATTCTTATGTGGCTTCAGTAAATATCCTGTTACTTTATTTCTTTTGATATATGTAAAGTATTTTTTAAAATCTTCTAAGGGTTTATATATTTTGCTATTTTCTTTCAGTATAGTTTTTAAATCAGTAGATGAGTGGATAATGGAATACAAATCAGCCATAAAAAGGAAGAAACATTTACCCTATAAAACACATGGACCTGGAGAGCATTATGCTAAGGGAAATAACCCAGTCAGAGAAAGACAAGTACAATGTGATTTCACTCATATGTGGAATTTAATGAACAGACTGACTTAACAAGCAAAACCAAGACAAACTCAGAGATAGAGAGCAGGCAGACAGCTCTGGTGGGGGTGGGGGAGCGGTGGTGGAGGGATTGAGCAAAAAAGAAAAAAGAGAAAAAACTCAGGGATACAGGAGGTAGAAGGGGAGAAGTGGAAGAGGATATGGGAGGAGGGGGTAAATGGTGATGGAAAAAAACCTCACTAATTTTTAATAGATGTTATAATTCAAATAAATTAATCTTTGAAGAAAAAAATATTTTTTTTCATATAATACTTACATTGGAAGACTTTATTAGGTTCCTAAGGTTTTCTTTTTAAAATATTTCTTGTTATTTTAATAAACTACATTTATATGCTAAGTAATAGTTTAAGTGTAAAAATGTCAACTAATATCTTTCTATACTGTAGTTGGGATTGAAGTTACATCTAGCAAGTTTGTGCAGTATTCAGACTAAATAACAAAGTGTGTGTTAATTACTAAATATTTACAGAATCCTGCTCTCTCTTGGGGCCATGTGAATTATATAACATTTTTTCCATGTGGATAAAAAGAAATCACTATAAAGTGGGGATGATAATACCTCACTTATAGGGTCATTATGGTAACTAAATGGAATAACACATTTAAGATATCCTGGCAAGCACCTCGTATTAGTTCCAGGTCCTTTCTCTACATCTGTCCCCTGCATTTTAGGTTATCATGAGCACTTACGGAATTAGACATTTCAGCTGTTTAATGATCCTAGATTCCCCAGGTGACTTACATTTCCTGGGGAGCATTATTATATTATCTTCATTATAGATGTTTTATTTTTCAGGGGCTAGCAGTATATTTAAAACTTGGAAATTTTTATCTTTTTGGAAAATTTGAAATGCAAAACTTGTACCCTTGTCATTAGCTCGCCTTTTAAATCAGATTTCACTACCAAGCATTCTTACTTGTACTTGAGGGCTTTCTATTGTTTATATTATGTCAATATGTTAAAGGATTGTTTATAACTAAACTGAAAAACTTGCTGAGGTCCTGGGAAACCATTTTGAGTATGTTCTGTTCATTTTCTCTTCCAGAGTTGATGTTCTCCTCTGAGGTGGAAGAATATCCTGATAAAGATAAAGGATAAGGCCTCTTCCTAATGCCTCTCACCTTCAGAGGAATAACGGCCCAGTGTTTAGAATTCTTCCCATCCTTGTTTTTAAATGTATTTTTATAAGATATGCACAGGTGTATTTGGAATTGATTTTTTTTGATTATGTAATACTGAAAAAATTCTCAAGATTATGGAAATTGTTAAAATTGTACCTGCGGTTTATACCCAAACATCATCAGTTTAATGACAAAGGAGGTCATAAGCTAGAAACAAGTAAGTGAAAGTGCTTATTTCCTGTTCTGTCGAATTAGTGGCTTTTATAATCATTATCTTAAAGAGCACGAGTAACTTTACTGTTACAAAAGCTATATCAGGTTTAAACATAAATTTAGGGAATAGGGAAGAAGGGAAATAAAGACCTTCATTATTTATTTTTGATATCTCCTTACTGCGTTCATTGAAATATGAAATTTGTCTTGTTTTTTAAAGTGACTTAGTGACTGTGTATCATGTAATAAGTATAATGTAATGTAATTTAGCTTGAAAGATGCTTGACTTCATGGCTAATAAAAAGAAAATATATCCTTTTTGTTTGAAAAGTTTTATAACCGAATAAGTTTATTTCTTTTTAAAACCCATATCCGTGGTTCCCAGAGCTGGTTGCACATCGGAATCATTTAGGAAGCTTTAAAAAATAATGTAGCAAAAAAAAAAAAAATGTAGTCAGAGAGAAGCAGAGCAGGCCAAGAGCTCCGGGAGATGAAGGCGAGGCCAGTGAGCTGGCTGAGCTAACACTCAGTTGACTTCTGCAGAACCCTTCCCACTGCCTCTGTTTTTGTATGACGAGGAGAATGCGTGGAAATTCACTGAATCTATTCTCAGGCTCTTTGTCAGCGGGATCTTGGCTCTCGAAATCCCACTCGTGAGGTGTCCTTCACTGGAACAGGTCTCTTCAGAGCTGTGTCCGGTGGTGCCTCAACTGGTGTGAAACCCTGGAGCTCAAGACAGTGATAAGGCTCAATGGGGCAAGGTGTCTCAAAGGCTCTGGGCACATCGAGAGAACGAGTGGGCCAGCCCCACTTAGCAAACAGCCGGATGCTGTAGAACGGAAGAGGCCGGACCAATTGATGATAAAAATGCATGGCTCTGAGAATAGGTCTAAATTTGGTGTAAGCATCATAATAGGAGCGGCTTGCTGTCTGTAAGGCTGGAGTTGCTGAAAAGGGATCCCCCTTTTCACAGAATTGTGAAGGTGCTGGCATCCTGCCAGTCCCAGCTTTCACTGTCAGCAAACTTCAGGGAAGCCACGCTCACTTGAGCTGAGGCTCGCCGCATCTGAACAATGTTATGAAGGATAAATACGAGAAAACCAATGTGGGGGATTGTGCCCTGGCTGGGAATCGAACTGGTGACCTCATGGTTCCTGGGTCAACACTCAACCACTTGAAGCACACTGGCCGGGGTCTGTTTTTTTTTTTAAAATTAACAATTAATGAGTCCACTAATGAGTTATACCAAGTGGTAACTTGGAGACAGCGGTTAATTCTGCATTTGGGGTATGTGTATGGGGTTTTATGGCTTAACTGAAAGCTGAACTTGGAGCTGGCCCTTGAATACAAGAAAAATAGATTCCAAATAGAATAACAGTTAATAATGATTTTGGAGGCCCTCGGTTTTTGCATTAAATAATTCCAACTTAGCCCTAGCTGTTTGGCTCAGTGGATAGAGCATCCGCCTGTGGACTGAAGGGTCCCAGGTTCGATTTCTGTCAAGTGCACATGCCCAGGTTGCAGGCTGATCCCCAGTGCGGGGTGTGCAGGAGGCAGTCAATAATTTTTCTCTCATCATTGATGTTTCTCCCCCTTTCTGATATCAATAAAATTTATATTTAAAAAAATCCAATTTATGGCCGATAAAGAAGTTCTGGCATTTCCGGTTTTGTTTGTTTAAAAAGTAAACTGTATTTTTAAATTTTAAAGGTGAAATCATGGAAAGGGTGGATGACAGGAGGCTGGGAGACCCATGAATAAACCATTGCAGTCATGGTTGTGTGAGATGCCCTACACTAGGTGCCATAAAGAGGAGTAGGGCTCAAATATTTGGGGTTAGAATTCAAACATGTGTCTGACGTTTTTAGCGTTTGTGGGTATAACATTGCTATGTTCAAATGGGTTTGGGACCGGAGGCCTGGGAGGGAAGGTGCATGTCCAAGCGCTGTGCTATGTCGGGGGTCAGCTGAGTAAAGATGTCGGGCTAGTCTGTGGGAAACAGCATCTGGAACTCGGGGAACAGTGTAAGGAAGTGGTGACTAACACTGTAAGTCTCCGGGAAGAACCGGCGCAGGGAGGGGGGCTCCGGTGGGTTAAGGGGCAGACAAGACGCACTAAGGTGTCCGACACCCATCACGTGCTGGGGAGCCTGGCTGCCTCCCGCAAGGCCTGACTCCTCGTCCTGGACCTGGCATGGCCTGGGCAAGCGCTCCAAGCTGACCCTCCAGGCTCCCAAGGCTGCACCCCCAAAGCCAGCCCTGCAAGGAGCCGGCCTAGACGTGCGGTCGCACAGTGTTGTACGCGTGTGCAGTGCGCGAGCGTGTGCATGTGCGTGAACGTGTGCGAGTGCGTGAGCGTGTGCATGTGCGTGAACGTGTGCGAGTGCGTGAGCGTGTGCATGAGCGTGAGCGTGAGCGTGTACACGTGCGTGAGCGTGTACACGTGCGTGAGCGTGTGCAGGAGCGTGTGCGTGGGAGGTTGGAGGGCGGGGCGGGCGGGCTGCGCCTGCGCAGTCGCGGGCAGTCGGTTAGGCACAGACCCGCCCGGGAGGATGGACGGATGGGTTTCCCCCGCAGATGCCTGAGGTTTCCAGCGCGGCCGGTCACCACGCGGGCGGGCCCATTCCCTGCGCAGAGCCCCCGTCCTTCAGAGGAGCCACCCCAGCAACTCCCGGGAAACTCGAGGCCCGTCCGAGGGTCGGCGTTTTCTCCAGGCCGACCCTTCCAGGAGGAAGGCAAGACCATTGATCTGCCCAGGACCAGGCCGCAAGGGCCCCGGGCACAGGCAGCCCAACGTGAGTGTCCCCCCACCCCTACACCCCCACCCCATTCCCCCGCCCCGGGGAGCCCGTCCCCGCCCCGGCCACCCGGAGGGCCAGGGACGGCAGGGAGGGAGGGAGGGAAGGTGGTGACCCCTGAGAACGAGTTATTTGTGGGCTCGTGGCACTCACTGACCTGCCAGAGCCTCGCCTACTGCCCGTTGGAGGAACACGGTGATCGCCGCCCTGCGTGCAGGGTTGTCCCAGCCACCGGAGGAGGGAAGGATATAAAGTGCTCACAGCGCAGAGCACAACCAGGGGCAGTGAATGTCAGCCTCGTCCTCGTTGGGATTTCATGTATGTGTTAGAGGGCCAGACTCCAGAAACTCCAGTTACCCTTGTTTTCGATTCCTGAGGTTCTTCTCTTTTTCCAAATAAATGTCTTAACATCATTTACTTAAAAACAACACGTAGCCCTAACCGGTTTGGCTCAGTGGATAGAGCGTCGGCCTGCGGACACAAGGGTCCCGGGTTCGATGCCAGTCAAGGGCATGTACCCTGGTTGCTGGCACATCCCCAGTAGGGGGTGTGCAGGAGGCAGCTGATCAATGTCTCTCTCTCATCAATGTTTCTAACTCTCTATCCCTCTCTGTAAAATATCAATAAAATATATATTTTTAAAAAACACATATTGGCCCTTAGGACTGGAGATGTCACCTTTATACTATGTTGCCGTATGTATTTGGGTTTTTCCCCCCTGGGCTTTCTATTCTATTCCACCACTCTCTTTATCAATTTCTGTATGTTACATCAATATAACTATATGTATAAAAGCCTAAGCAACCAACCGACCAGCCATTAGCTATGATGCGCACTGACCACTAGGGGGCAGATGCTCAATGCAGGAGCTGCTGAGCTGCAGTCTCTTGGCAGCAGCAGTTCTCAGGTGATGCACCCAGAACCAGATTTCGGGGTGCGTCACCCGAGAACCGCCCTCTCGCAACCCGGGACCCCTCGGGGGATGTCAGAGAGCTGCTTCCAGCCAGATCCCAGTGGGCCAGACTGAGGGACCCCACCGGTGCACAAATCCGTGCACCAGGCCTCTAGTTGGTTAATAGTATGATATAGGTTTCAAGAGTATAATTCTATGATACATCATCTGTATATTGTATTGGATGCTCACCACCCTAAGTCAAATCTTCCTCCATCACCATATATTTGACCCCCTTAATCCTTCACTACCCTTCCCCCCTTCCCTCTAATAATCACCATACTGTTGTCTGAGTCTCTGAGTTTTTGTTTGCTTTCCTTATTTGTTCATTTGTTGCTTTCAGTTTTATATCCCACATATGAGTGAAATCATATGGTTCTTAACTTTTTCTGTCTATTTCACTTAGCATGACATTCTCAAGATCCACCCGTGTTGTCACAAATGCCAATTTTTAAGTCATATGTGTATATGTGTGTGTGTGTGTACATATATATGTATTTATTTACTTATCTGTTTGTTAATCCTCACCCGAGGATATTTTTTCCACTGCTCTTTAGAGAGTGGAAGGGAGGGAGAGAAGGGGGAGGAGAAAGAAAGAAAGAGACCAATTGATTGCTTCCCTCATGTGCACAACCAGGCTGGTGATTGATCTGCAACCCAAGTGTGTGCCCTTAACTGGAAATTGAACCCCAAGACCCTTGGTTGCATGGGCCAATGCTCTAACCACTTAGAAACACCACCAGGCTTAGTTATATTTTTAATAGGCAGTTTTTCCCTATTCCTCTTGCTTCTCCCCTCCATTCCCCCTTCTCCCTTTCTCTTTAAAAATGTCTTATAATTTTTAAAACACACCATTGTGTGTAGTGACTAGAACCCTTAGAACAAAGTTAAAAACCAACCCACAAGTATCAGTTAGTGAAGTTACTCTGGAGAGAATCATAACTAAAACCCCCAAACCATTTGTTCACTGCTTCATCCCGTGTACTAACTATTCCAAGGATTAAATTCCAGTTTCTTCCATGGCTGATAACTGAAGGAATATTGGGATAATTTGCAAATAGGATCACTGCTCTTTGTCTGATACAGTACCTACTCCAGATTGAGACTGGAAGATTAAGACTGGAATGTGGTAACGATGGTCCTTTTAAGCTAAGAACTCATTGTTTTGACAGTGTACTTCTCTCCTTTGCTCTCTGCTAGCTTATTGATAAACTTGAGGGTAGGGATGAGTTTTTTAGTCATATTAAGATCTCACTTCCTAATATAATACCTGATACTAGAGACTCACAAAATTGAATTGAAATAGCTTTCAGTTATATTCTTCTTTGCCTTCTAAAGTCTTGATTTATTTACATTGTAGATGCGGAGAAAAACTTTTACAGGGTCTGAAAGTAAAGAAGCAAAAGTAACACCTAATCCAGAAAATTTAGTGCCATTTGGGGATGTGGTATGTATGATTTAGTCCTTAGTAAACCCATATAAGTTATTTCTTATTTTACATTAAAACTAGTTAGTCTTTATTATTTGGTAATCAAAAGTATGCATAGAAAATGGTACTTTCTGATAACATACTCATTGATTTGTTTCATTTTTATGAGTCAGAACAGCATTCTAGTGATCACTGAAATTATGGAAAACATCCTGATTCAAAGAAAAAGTGTTTTTTATATTAGGGATTCCTAAAGTCAAGTTTTATAAGAATCATCTGGAATAATTTTTAAAAACATTGCTTCTCAGGCCCCACCTAAGACCTGCTAACTTAGAATTTGAGAATGGGGCCTAGAATCGGTATTTTATTTTTAATGGGGCCTAGAATTGGTATTGCTTCAGATGATTGTATTTATTGTCAGATTTAGTTACCTTTGAGCTACAGTTTAAAAATTGGTCCTTCACCTCTCTCATCCAAAAAATAATAAACCCCAGGGGGGAAAAAATCAAACACATACGCACAAACACCTAATATTTAGGCTGAGGAACAGAAAAATCTGTTTTCTGTTTTGGGTGCCACAGAGTATAGGACACGAGGATCTGTGTGCATTTAGAACTGCCAAACACTGTGGTATTCTTTTACAGTTGTCTTTTTTGTCTGAGCCTCATTAGAGTAGTTAATAGCTATGAAATAAAAGGTTCTCTTATCTCTCTTCTGTAGCTCCTATTATATATGAACTAGAGGCCCAGTGCATGAAATTTGTGCACAGGTAGGGTCCCTAGGCCTGGCTGGCAATCAGGGCTGATCTGTAGGGTGACTGGCGGGGTGATTGGGGGATGGGAGGCCTCCCGCTGGCACCCGCCTTGGCTGGCCTGGGCCTCCAGGCTGGGGGCAGCTCCTGCATTGAGCGTCTGCCCCCTGGTGGTCAGTGTGCATCATAGCGATCAGTCGTTCCACTGGTTGTTCCACCATTTGGTCTATTTGCATATAAGTTATTTATTATACAGGATACTAATACATTTTCTTGATTAAAAAACGTGATTAATTTAACATCACCTTTTTGGGGGGTAAATAGTAAGGTTATATTAATGTATACATTTTTGTTTTTATAAAATGACCATAATGTGCATTTATCTGTATAATTATGTAACACTTTCTTCTATCACAAAGTTGGAGAATAAGCCTTCATTGTCTGAATCTAAATTTAGAAAAGATTCTTTGAAATCACTTTTGGCCATAAGCAATTATGCATGTCATTATGTTGACATAGTGATTTCCGTAATCCATACTCTTGAATATGACTTCTACATCTTTTTAGAACTGACATTTTGAAAACCATTCCGATCTCACTCACGCTTTCTAACGTCATAGTTTGTATTTTCCTTATTTGAATTGCATGTTGCTAGACATGAAAAGGCTTCTCTTAGGTCCACTGGAAGTTGTTGACAGAGATGTTTGGCACGTAGTTGGTAGCTCCTCCCAGGGCATGATTTAGTCACGCCATTTCCTCTCTGAAAGTTCTGTGATTTGAGATATTTGGCAAGGTTTGCACATGTGTCAACAATGATAACATGACAACCATTACCTCTGTTTCTGATAGTCACAGCCCATTTTCAGAAAAAAAAATGTGAAAAGGCTGTATCTTAAAGTTGGACACAAAGTGCTTTTGTGTTAAGGACCCAGACGACAGTGTGGTGATGGCCGGAGGGAAGGGGGCTGGGTGGAGAGGGCAAAGTGGGGGAAATGGGGACATCCGTAATAGTGTCAACAGTAACAAAAAGAAACAAGAAAAAAAGTGCTTTTGTGAATAGCTTTCTGGTTGCTTTCCTGTTTTAAATGCATGTTTGAGAGTGTTTGGGGGTGAAGATATTGAAGATATTGACATGTTTTGGGCCACAGGTGGGTCTCAGATTCTGTAGCAACATTTGTTATCTGCAGTCTGTGAATGGTCATTATTGTATTTCTGAGTGTTAAATCTGTTTTCTAAATTATGTGGATCATTATGTTAAAGTATAAAGAGCTATTGAAAGATAGGAAAGATGAAGGTAGCTACCCATGGCTTCATGTTGAGATACTTGGCAGGCCGCCATTGATTTGCATTGTATAGAATTATACAATAAAAAATTATAGCTATACTTTCCTGTTTATCCTCCTTATGTACAACCCAATTTTAATAAGTAAACAATGATTCGTAGAATCACCTATGTCAATACCAGTTTAAATCTCCCCTACATTATACAATGGACATTACCCCTCCTTTAAATTTGAAAACTTAGAATCTTTCCTTTACCATAATATTTTGTACCTATATTTCCTTAAAAAGTAGATCATAATATTTTTTTTTAGAATTTCATCATTCAGATACAGTATTCTTTTTGTTGTTAATCCTCACCTAAGGACATTTTTTTCATTTATTATTAGAGAAAGTAGAAGGGAAGGGGAGAGACAGAGAGAGAGAAATACCGATGTGAGAGAGACACATGGATGGGTTGCCTCCTGCTCATGCCCCAACAGGCACCCTGGATGGAGCCTGCAACCAGGGTACATGCGACTCTTCAGTCTGTGGGTTGATGCTGTAACCACTGAGAAGACTGGCCAGGGGAGATACAGTATTCTTTTAGTTAAATATTGGATGCTAATATCTTTTTCTGTATTGTTCTAAAGCCAATTACATTTAAAAATACTATTGGGCCATTTATATTGTTTCATAATGTATAATATAATATTGCTGTTGCTTTTACTTTTTTTCTTTTTAAGCCAAACATGGCTAAATATATTTGGCTAATCCTGCATATTACTTTCAAGTGTTCCTATACTCATTTTGTATTTAATTTTAAGGTTAAACACAAGATATAATTTTCTTCAACATTTAGAAACACTCTGTAAGAGAGAATGAATATTTCATAGCCATTGACATGTTATAGTTAATGAATGATTGTTGAATGAATAAGGTGGTTTTAGGATACTGAATAAAAAAGCTTATCTCAAGCAAGGCATATTTCTTATTATTATATGAAAGATGCTACATTTTACCACTTATTACCTAATATAAAATAAAAATGATTCAAAGAGTGATGGTTGGATTTAAGTTGGTAATGAACCATTGTTTAGTTTTGTATTCTTGTTCATTTTAGGTTTATCTTAAACAAATCCTGCTTGTTTTTCTTCTCTCTTTCTGCTTTCTGGTGTTTTCCAATCACTAGAGATTTCTAGTGAGAAACAATATTTCAAATGAGAAAAACTAACAAAGTAGAGCTTTAAAAAATATGTAGTTTGGTGTAGAGTAAATGGAAGAAAAGTTACTTTTAAAATGTATTCACTGTGTTTTTATTTTGATTGTTATAGGCTGGCTGTCTGGCTATTCATGTAAAGAACTGCAGTCATTTTACACCTAAGAGTATCCTTTCTTTTTAAGAATCATGCTATGATCATATATCACTATTTCAGTTAGATATTACTACATTATAAGACACTGTAAGACTTAATGGCTTAGAATATTAACTATGTTATTATTAATCACTATATGTGCACTCACTGGGTGGTACTCCTGCTTCATTATCGCAGGTCAGAAAAGCTGGAATATGTAAAATAACTCATTTATGAGTCTGGTGCTTTAGTGAAAATGCCTAGAAGATTGGCATTATTTTTTTCTCTATTCATTTTTATTTTATATTACATTAAAAAACTATTTATTTTCATTACTGAAGTTGTTGGTGTCCCCTTAAATTTTGCACCCTGACTAGTGCCTTTCCTAGTCCCAGCCTGGTCAAGTCCATTGCATGTTAAAGCAGTCACTGGTCCAGGCGAGACTCAAGAGCAGAGAACAAGAAATGTCGCTCCTGGATGTGGAGAGTGACAAAAGATTTTTAGCATCAGTAACCCTCAATCACCATCTGAGTTAAAGGAAAATATATATTATGTCTTCTTGGAATATATATTACTAATTCATTTCTAAGAAATAACTGTGCTTCTCTTAAAACGGATTTATTTATCTTGGTGGGGGGATGGGGGGAGGCTTACCTTGGTACCCTTAAGGAAGCTGAATACCTACCTCTTCTTGGATTTATCATGGCATAAACCCAGTCTCATTATGAAGACTTGGTGTTTCTTTTTTATATAAGTGATTACTGAAAAGAATTCTACATAAAGAGATTTTTGAAGATAATTAGTTAAATGATGAAAAAATATTGTTTTAATGGAGTGCTATGAAAAGTAAAAGAACAAGCCAATATAGTATAAGTGAGTATGTAGTGAATTAAAGTAGAATGCTGCCTTAAATTTTGTCCTAAAATTAAAAAGAAATTACTCTCAAATGACATATTTTTAAAATTTCTATATAATTATGCTTACCAAAAATTTTCAACTATATATTGTAAATGCTTATTCACCGTAAAATATAGAAAAATTTGCAAGGGAATTATAATGGAAATGTGACTATAAAAATATGAGAACTGATCGAAGAAAGAATCTACCTTTTCCTAGTTATATTGTACCTAACATTGATGGGCAAAAATACTATCTTAAAGGACTTTTCATTGTTTAATGTGTTCTACAATTACCTCTTTATTTATTTGATTGATTCTTAAGTTTTAGCCTGAATTGTTTAATAGATTAATTTTATAATGTGTTATTGTTTAATTACAACAAAATTTGCTTCCTAAATATGTGTTTTCAGTCGATGTACAGCACAAGAACAATTTTTTCATTCGTATCTCTATAAACAACATTGTGAAATATACAAAACTGTGTAGCTTGCTACCCCAAAATATACCATTTGTCATTAATGAAAGGAAAACTCTGATTAAGTTTGATGAAGTGAAGTATTTTTCTGTACAGGTAATGTTGACGTTTTCTCCTAGATATAAGAATACATTTGTTTCAAATGTACTACATTAATTATATCCTTTGGGAAGGGATAGGAAAGAAACAAAAACAGTACCCTTTAAAAAAATAAATAGGTTACTGTAAAATGCACAATTTTGGTGGTCTTTTTCCATGAGATCTTACTGTATGGGGTTTATCACACATGCATTTTTTCTCTGTCTTGCTCTTACCCTCCTAATCCCCCATTGCCTACCCTGCCTTAATCCGTTTGGGCTCCTATTACAAATTACTATAGATTGGGTGGCTTAAACAACAAGCGTTTATTTCTCATCTTTCTGGAGAATGGGAAGTTCACGATCAAGGTGATGGCAGATCTTTTGTCTAATGAGAGCCTGCTTCCTGGTTTGCAGCTGGCCCTCTGCTCATTGCTGTAGTGATGTAGCAGAGAGCAAAGAGATCATCCTTTTTGTGCCTCTTCTTATAAGGGCACTAATCCAGTTCATGAGGGCTCTACCCTCATGACCTAATTACATTCCAAACACCCCACCTACAAATACCATCACACTGGGGGTTCAGGGTTCAACATGAATTCTGAGGAGACATTCCGTTCATAGCACACCATTTTTTCTCATCTCCCCTTTTTCTTTTTTCTTATATAAAATCTCTCCAATTATTTTTGCATGCATTAATTTCTTCAGTCTTTATAGTAATCCCCTCAAATATGTATACTCTCACTAGCAAAATGAGAGTATACATCTCTCATCAACAAAATGAAAACACAACTTACAAAATGGGAGGAAATATTTGCAAATTATATATCTGATAAAAGGTTAATATCCAAATATTTATAAATATATGAACTGATACAACTTAATAGAAAAAAGACAATTAAAAAAGGACAGAGGATCTGAAGAGATATTTTTCCAAAGAAGCCATCCAAATGATCAACAGGTACTCACCTTCAGTAATTATCAGGGGAATGCAAATCAAAACCATAGTGAGATGTTGCCTTACACGTGTTAAAATGATTATGATCTAAAAGATGAGAAATTGCCAATGTTGGCAAGGATTTGGAGAAAAGGGAACCTTTGTGCATTGTTGATAAGAATGTAAATTAGTGCAGCCACTAGTTTGTAGGTTCGATTCCTGGTCAGGGGGTGTATGGGAGGCAACCTATGTTCTCTCATCTCTCTCTCTTTCTCTTTTTCTCTCTTCCTTCCCCTCTCTCTAAAATCAATCACATATCCTCAAGTAAGGATTAAAAAAAGAGAGAGAATGTAGGCATGGGTGTTTCAAAAAGACTGTAATTGACATTAGACATAAAGAAGATTCTGATTTTTGTGAGATTAGAGTATCAGTGACTCTGAGTTTGAAAAGTTATGACTAATAACATGAAAACTAATCATTAGACTATGCACATAATATAATATAGTTTATGGATGTATTTATTCAGAAGTTATATCCGAAATTCAGACTGAAAATTTAATGCTTCTTTTTATATGTATTTTCTATCAAGGTTCCCAGACGTCAAAATGATGCACGGAATAATATTTACCTGGATCTAATGCAATTTGATAATAAAGAAAAGCATATTTTGTTAGGGCGTGTTCAGGTACACCTTTATGAAGTAATCCAGGTATGTATCCAAATACATTTTTACTTTGGTATCACATTGTCCAGTTGGTGTTTATTGTTAAGATTTACCTATACCTGATGAGTTCCTTTTGTTTATTATCTGCCTTCAAACTCGTGTGCTCAGGAAACATTATCTCCCTCTGGCTGTTAAGAAAAAGGAGAGAGAGATTTGGTTTATAACAGTATAATGTTTTTGAAATTTTATTTTCTGGAAGGGCAATGATACAACCTGAAAAATTAAGCATGTTTTATTACGCTTTCTGAAATATTTTAAAATAAGACTCAAACCACTAACTCTGCCTCTTAGCTGGCAGCATAAATTTCAGGTCTTTTATCCTCAGCTGGGCTGCGTGCCGTCTGCCTGTGCTTGTGTTGGTTAGGAGTCAGCCAAAGTTTTGGACAGAGTTTATATACAGATTTTATGAGTCTTTCTCTCTTGCTTTCTCCTTCCTAGGAGTGTTCCCTCCCACGTTACAAATTTCGAATTAAGGAAAAATCAATGAATCCTTGGTGATGACAGAGAGAAGAGAGAGAGACTGGGAAGAAAAAGGGAAGCTTTTTATTTTTAAACAGAAGAATACCAGTTATAAATGTAGAAGGAGTGACAGAATTACAAACTCACCATTTTTACAACTTTTTTTAAAATCTTTTTTTATTGTTTTATTGCTTAAAGTATTACAAAGAGTATTACATATGTCTCCTTTTTTTCCCCGCCCTTGACAATCCCCTGGCCTCCCCTACCCCCCAGTGTCTTATGTCCATTGGTTATGCTTATATGCATGCATACAAGTCCTTCAGTTGATCTCTTACCACCCCCTCCTGCCCCCCAACCCTCCCCGGCCTTCCCGCTGTAGTTGGACAGTTTGTTCGAGGCAGCTCTGCCTCTGTATCTATTTTTGTTCATAAGTTTATAATGGTCTTTATTATCCATAAATGAGTGAGATCATGTGGTATTTTTCCTTCATTGACTGGCTTATTTCACTTAGCATAATGCTCTCCAGATCCATCCATGCTGTTGCAAATGGTAAGAGTTCCTTCTTTTTTACAACAGCATAGTATTCCATCGTGTAGATGTACCACAGTTTTCTAATCCGTTCATCTACTGATGGGCACTTAGGCTGTTTCCAGATCTTAGCTATGGTGAATTGTGCTGCTATGAACATAGGGGTGCATATATCCTTTCTGATTGGTGTTTCTGGTTTCTTTACAACTTTTTATAGTAAATAAATTCAGTCAAGAGTTAGCAGTGGCTCTAACCAGTTTGGCTCAGTGGATAGAGCATCGGCCTGCAGACTTAAAGGTCCCAGGCTCGATGCCGGTCAAGGACATGTATCTTGGTTGCGGGCACATCCCCAGTAGGGGGTGTGCAGGAGGCAGCTGATTGATGTTTCTCTCTCATCGATGTTTCTAACTCTCTATCCCTCTCCCTTCCTCTCTGTAAAAAGTCAAAATATATATTTTTTAAAAAGTTAGCAGTGGTACTAGAAACATTAGGTAAAAGGTGCTTGGGGAATAAGATATTTGCATGGTGCCACACAGTAAGAGCCCACAGATTAATTATTACAAAGGGGAAAGTGCCTGTACAGTGGAGAGATGTGGTGGCTACCACTTTAACCAAGAGCTTAAACTTAGCATAGAGATTGTGGACAATTTAACACCTAACGTGGTACAATATGATGTACACAACCTAGGAATTATTCTCATCAAAACGTTTAAGTACTAACCTGAGTCTAGACTAACTGACCTAACATTTAGGGAAGAGGGAAAAAGATAAATGATAACATGGTCAGATAAACGCATAATGGGAGACATACCAGCGTTGCTTCTTTAAAAAGTTAAGTCATTAAAAAAAATGGAGCAACTGTTCAAGATTAAAAAGAGATACAACAACTTTGAATACAAATTTGAAAAATTTACAAAAGACATTCTTGTGAAATTTAGGAAAATTTGAATATATACTGCATATTATATAAAATTCTAAAATTGTTAATTCTCTAAAGTCTGATGCCAATACTGTGGTCATGTGGAAGGCTATCCTTATCTTTACACTATGCAGGGGGGGTTGGACATTTAGGAGTCAAGTGAGATGACGCTGCAACTTCTAAATTGTGCAGTAAACATGTATATGGACACATAGACAACATAAACATGGCCAGATGTTAAAACAGTTTAACACTCGTTAAATTAGACGGTGTTTAATCCAGGGGAAGTGTATATTGGTTCTTATTATTTTGACTGATCCATGTTTCACTAAGTGAGAATTAGTGATTAGTGACTGGAATGTCTGAAAGAGATGCCAGGTAGCATGCGGCTTAAAAGAGGAAAACTGCTCCTCTACCTGGAAACAGCAGAAGGGAGTGTGGAAGATGTCACCCCTCCTCCTGACCTGGAGGTAGGTGGGCCTTCACTGGAGTTTAGTGGTGAACCGGTTCTCAGGTAAAGTAAAGGGGGGAGGTATAGTGGATCCGTTAAAGGTGTAACGTTGTTGCGTTGCTCAGTGGTTGAGCGTCAACCTATGAGCCAGGAGGTCACCTTTCAATTCCCAGTCAGGGCACTTGCATGGGTTGTGGGCTCGATCCCCAGTAGGGAGCATGCAGGAGGCAGCCTGTCAGTGATTCTCTCTCATCATTGATGTTTCACTCTCTCTCTTCCTTCCTCTCTGAAATGAATAAAAATATATTTTTTAAAAGATGTAAAGTTGTTAATCATGGAATGGGAATTTCACGAGTCGCGGTGGAAGATGCTGGGAAGGAAGGGAACTGTGGGATGTTGGATTAGTGGGAGAACTGATAACACAGCAGAGATGACCAGAGATGGTGACCAAGGACACCAAAGGTTGACCTGGTTTAAAAGATCCCAACAGTCTCTGAAAGATGGGAGAAGCCCCCAGTTCTGTCAGGAGTCAGCTTAGCATGTAGGTTTATGGTTTTTGTTTTTGTGTGTGTGTGTTTTTAAATTTATGTTTAAATAACCCTTCAATCACAAACTATAGAAATGATTCCTGAAAGTACTGTAGGCATGTCCTTTAAGACTTCCAAAAGGAGGACCTATAACTAGCAGGAAGATTTTTTTCTAAAACATAAATATAAATATTTATTTTTGGTTCAACCTAGAATTTTGATTTCCTTCCAAATATTCATTTTATTTGTAATTAGCTATTAAATTAGTATGTGCATTAAAATCATTATCTGATTTTTTTAAAATTTATGAAATGGTTTAGATTATATACATGAGTGAGTCTATATTTAAGAATTTTATTTATTACTTTTTTCTAGAAAGGGTGCTTTACTGAAGAATTTCAAATGTTGAATGAAAACACAGTAAGAGCTTTACTGAAACTTCCAAAGTTTTTGCCCAAACTTAATTAACATTTCATAACTTTACTCTGATACTGTTGGTAGCCTCTATTGTTTTTATTCTTTTGGTATCCTGCTAGACACTGTTTGAATTAATGGAAATATATTAAATAGAAAGTACAATATTTATCATAAAAACTTTATCTCCACCTTTTTTAAAAAAAAACCTATCCGACTGCTAAATGGTGAATGAGAAAATGAGAATCATTGGGGAAGAGAGCAAGATGCCTCCACTGCTCCTTTGACTGCACAGCCTCAGGATCCTCCCTTGCAGAGGAAGCTGTACTTTTCTCCTTGAGGAGTTTCTGAAGAGTTGTTACAGTTCTGACTTGAATTTCTTTTTAAGTACTTAAAATTTTTATCTTGATTAATTGCACTTCTGTTCAGAGAGGGTTCTGCTGTCAATAGCAAAAACAGGGACAAAGACATAAAAAATAGAATGATGACTGGTTTGGCTCAGTGGATGGAGTGCCTGCCTGTGGACTGAAGGGTCCTGGGTTCAATTCTGGTCAAGGGCATGTACCTCGGTTGCAGGCTCGATCCCCGGCTCTGGTTGGGGCGCGTGCGGGAGGCAACCAATCAATGTGTCTCTCTCACATTGATGTTTCTTTCTCTCTCACTCCCACTCCCTTCCACTTTCTCTAAAAAAAAAAAAAAAAAAAATCAATGGAAACATATCATGGGGTGAAGATTAACCAAAAAACAAACAAACAAAAAACCAGAATGATGGACATTTGAGGTTATAACTTCTGACACCCTCCTTTATTTCACATATTAGTGAGCTGAGTTCAGTGTCTGAATCAAAAAAATTATCTGAAAATGGAAGTGGAGGTGAGAGAAGTGTAAATACTTTAAAATATATATACATGTATATGAATATATACATACATATATATGTATCTTGGCATAATCCTATTAACAATTATAAATTGATATTTTCCATATTTTAGTCATATAACATTCCTAACTTTAACCCAAAAGTTTTTAAAATTTCAGTAATTTCATAGATTTTTTAATAAGATTTCCTAGTGTAAATGTGGGGTTTTTTATTAGCTTGTTTTTGTTTTGTTTGTAAATCAGGAGATTCATGCTTTGGTTTTCTAACTTATAAATTTGTGAAGTAAAAATATCACTTGTTATCACTTCTTTATTAAAATATTTTTCTGATTAAACAATAAAGTAAGTTTGCCACATGTTTAGTTTATCTGCAGGATGGAGGTGGACTTTATGTTCTCCTATGGAAACTTTGGTTATGGATTTTCACATCAGGTTAGTTCCCCTTTTGGCAGATATTTAGTGCTCAGTAGATATTAGTTCTTTCTTCCTCTTTTAATTTCTTTTCTCCTTATATGTATTGCTTAAGGCCTGTTTTATAGTCCTGGAGAATAGTAGTATTAGGGTGAACTGTAACTGTCGTTAAACAGTGTTAAAATATACTTACCATTTTTTTCAGTTAAAACCTCTTCAGAAAATTGTTGAGCCACCTATGTTTATGAATATCCCACCACCTCCGGAAAGAACAGACCCTGTGACGTAAGTGTTTAAGTTTACTAACACTGTCAGGTCATGTGGCTTTTCAAACATTGAATCTGATCGGTGAGCATTTTGGTTGTGTTAGGAAATGGCCAGAATGGGTTAGACTCCAAGGTAAAGAGAGCAATGAATTGTTTTGCTTACAAAGGAGGAAGAAAATTTGAGTTTCTGGTTACAGTCCTGAAGAGAGCTGGTGAGGAGGTCTGGAGTTAAGAAAAATAAAGGAGGTGGGTGACAGCTTCATAGCTGAAGGAGGGAAGGAGGGGGGTGGCCTGATGAGGGGTGGCCAGTGGGATATTCCTTTTGGAGAAAGAAGTGAGGGACTTTTAAGATCAAGATGTCTAGTAGTTTTTAGTTTTCTGCTCTGCAGTATAGTAATGTTTACCTGACTTCCACACACTCCAGTGTTACTTCCAAATCCAGCCAAAAGTTTGTCTGTGGTCAAAAAATGCCATTAGCATTTTACCAGGATAACTGTGCATTAGGGAAAAGAAATAATCCAAGTTTTCAGTTACTGGACATTGGCTTTGAGCCGACACTAATTTCAGAAGGTCCAACACATCACTGTTGTTGACCAGTCAGAGCAGGGGCTTATGAAGGTCAGGTAATCAATGGAGTTTTAACTCTGATCCATCCCACAGCAGGCCTAGTGGGTCCCCAAACCCAGCCACGAATTATTTCCCTCATTCCAGAATACATAGTTGAAAGAAATATACTCAGCAGTTGATGAATTCATACGTTGGTTCCCTGACCTGTGGAATGAGGGATATTATGGTAGGGTCAAATAGAAACCACTAGAGTGACCTCTACCCAGGAAAATAGTAAACCAAAAGCAACACCACATTCCTCAAGGGATTAGAGATTAGTGCCATCAAGGACTTGAAAGATCCAGGAGCTGATTCCCATCACCTCCCCAGTCAACTCGCTTATTTACCTGTGCAGAAAGCAGGTGGATCTTGAAGACTGACAGTAGATTGCTGTAAGCTTAACCAGGTGGTGACTCTGCAGCTGCTGTTCCAGATGTGGTTTCTTTGCTTGAGCAAATTAACACATTCCCTGGTACCTGGTATGCAACTATTGACTTGGCATATGCTTTTTTCTCCAGGCTTGTTAATATAGACCCGTGGTCAGCAAACTGCGGCTCACGAGCCACATGAGGCGCTTTGGCCCCTTGAGTGTGGCTCTTCCTAAGCCTTAGGAGTACCCTAATTAAGTTAATAACAGTGTACCTACCTATATAGTTTACGTTTAAAAATTTTGGCTCTCAAAAGAAATTTCAATCGTTGTACTGTTGATATTTGGCTCTGTTGACTAATGAGTTTGCCGACCACTGATATAGACCATCAAGCAGATTGCTATCAGCTGGCATGGCCAGCAACACACCTTCACTGTTCTACCTGAGGGGTGTATCAGTTCTCCAGTCCTCTATGTCCCAATTTATTTCACAGGACTCTTCACCTTTCCCTTAAACAACTTATCACCCTGGTCCAGCACAGTGATGACATTGTGCTGATTAGATCAAGTGAGCAAGAACTATACTTTTTTTTATTTTTTAGTTCCAGGTGTACAGAACAGTGGATAGACAATTATATAATTAACCAAGTGATCCCCCTGATAATTCTAGTACCCTCCTGGCACCATACATAGCTCTAGACTTATTGGTAAGACATTTGCATGTCAGGGTGGGAAATAAATCTGACAAAATTCAGGTGCCTTCTACCACAGTGAAATTTTAGGAATCAGTGATATGGGGCTTGTCAAAACTTTTCTAAGGTGAAGGGTAAGTTGTGTCTGGCCCCTCCTAAACAAAAAAAGAGGTACAACATCTAATGAGCCTCTGGATTTTTGAGGCAACACATTTCTCATTTGGGTGTGCTACTCTGGCCCATTTACCAAGTGATCTGAAAATACAGTGTGTCCCCCCCAAAATGTATACATACTGAACAGCTGATAGCCCACTTGATGTTTCTTTCTTTTCAAATTTAACCCATTGGAATTAATAATTATTCAAAGTGTGTGTACAAATTTTTTTGGGGGGGACACCCTTATATATCGCAAATATCTTTATTTTCTTCCCTCTTTTATCTTCTTATCATTTAACATAAGATATTTTGTCTTTACATCATAATATTTAAATATTGTTAACCTTGCATTATAGAATTTAAGTTTCAGGATAGCAAGAAGAAGGGTAAAGGACTTTGCACCTCCTCTTCTGAGGAAGAATCTAGCAGCCGTGGGCAAACTACGGCCCGCGGGCCGGATCCAGCCCTTGAAATGAATAAAACTAAAAAAAAAAAAAGACCGTACCCTTTTATGTAATGATGTTTACTTTGAATTTATATTAGTTCACACAAACACTCCATCCATGCTTTTGTTCTGGCCCTCCGGTCCAGTTTAAGAACCCATTGTGGCCCTCGAGTCAAAAAGTTTGCCCACCCCTGGGCTAGTGAGTTTTTGGTTGTGTGTAGAATAGTTGTAGCAGATTAGGAGGAATTATGAACTTGTTATTGTTTTCAGTTGGTGACTAAATATGTTTTAAGGAAATGTTTATGGGTGTCGAATTGACAAAAGGTGGATGTGGTAGTAAATTTTATGTGTCAACTTGACTGGGCCATGAGATAGAGATTAGGAGTGAGGTCCGGGCTCAAACACTTTCCATTTCTCTTTAGAACTTTAGGTCCTTCCTTCCCACTCTGCTGCCCATGATCTTAGTAGTAGGAGTACTCATAGAGCACTTCGCTGAGGATTTCTGACTTCGTCTTCTTTTCCAGCTTGTCCTTTGATGGCTTAAGGTAGACAGGGTGAGCTTACAGTGTAAAAAAGAGGATTCTAAAGTGATAGCTACCAGCGGTTTTAGAAGTGTACTTTTGTATAATTTCAATATTTAACTTTATTGCCATTTTGCAGAAATATTATTATACCACAGTCAATAGAATATCCAGCATTCTTATCCCCAGACCTGAAAGTTACTGTTGGGATGCCACCTCCAGAAGACCAACCCAACCAGCCCCCTGCAGTGCGACTTGAAAAACTTCAGCAACAACCTCGGGAAAGGTAAAAAACAAAATAAAAAATATTTAAAATATTATGTATGTGTTACTTGTATATTAATATTTTCCTTTGAGGCATGGGCTTGCTATTAATCTGAATCTTCATCATGGTTATATTTCATGGGTTCAGAGGCTATACCTGAGTTTTGCTTATCATATTTAGGTGTTTTAAAAAGTCAGTGCTATGGCAAGAAAAGAAATGAGAACTCATAAGGTAGTATCAAGAAAATAAAGAGAACACCCTAACTGGTTTGGCTCAGTGGATAGAGCGTCGGCCTGCAGACTGAAGGGTCCCAGGTTTGATTCCCGTCAAGGGCATGTACCTTGGTTTCGGGCACATCCCCAGTGTGGGGTGTGCAGGAGACAGCTGATCGATGTTTCTAACTCTCTACCCCTCACCCTTCCTCTCTGTAAAAAATCAATAAAATATATTTTAAAAAAAAATAAAGAGGTAAACTGAGGCAAGGTAAAAATTGTCGAAAAGATTAGTTTATTCAGGAATAACAGAGGACATGCAAATTGTAGCAAGCTATAAGTAAGTCATTTGAGGGTTTGGGGTAGACTGTATTTATGGACAGGGAATGTAGAGTTTGGAAAAATAAAAAACAAATGGAGACGAGCTTTGAAAATTCCCTGAGCTGAGAAAACCAGTCAGCCAGTCATCCAAACAGCTCAATTTAACTATTTTGCAAGACCAACTTGACTTGGGTCATTTCTTGTTCATGATCTGGGAACCATAAATCTTCCCAGGTTGATATGAGTGAGGCAACCCTGGATTAATTTCCTATCATTTAAGAAAATTCTAATTTTTCAGTTTTCTGTAAGTTAGGGATTTATAGGAAATCAGTTTTTCAGTCCTTAAATTTTGTTTTTCTGAGTTCACATGGGTGAGATTTTCCATTTTGTATCCTTTGGTTCCATTTAGATTGAAATTCTTTCACAGGAGGTAATATAATATTTGCTCTGCCTTCTGACTCAACAATGGAATCTTTAGGCCTCTCATTCTCTGCTCTGTAGTTCAGTCTAGGTGTTTTCTTCTGACCTATTTACAGTTCACTGGTTCATTCTTCTTTGTACCTAATCAGCTGTTAAACCAATTGAATTCTTAATTTCAGTTTTCTTCTTCTTGGTTGTGGAATTTCCCTTTATTATATAGTTTCCATTTCTCTACCAAAGTTCTCAGTTGTAGCTCTTAATTTTTTGAATATATTAATCATTTCTCTATTATCTGGATCTCCTCCTGTAAGTTTGTTTCTATTGATGACTTTTTTCTTATAGTTTTCTGTCAAATCTTATATTATCATATACCAAGTTGTTTTTATCGAGTGCCAAACATTGTACTTGAAAATTTATAGAACTAATTTGAGACTCTTGGGTGTATATACTTTCAAAGAAGATATGCATTTGCATCTGGCAGCTATTATGAATAATGCTGCTATGAATATTCATGTGCAGGTTTTTATGTAAGCATATTATTTTAATTTGGTGAATACTCCATATGTGCTTGAGAAGAATGTATATTCTACTGCTATTGGATGGAATGTTTTGTAACTGTTAAGCCAGTCCGATATAATGTATAGTTTAGGTCCAATGTTTCCTTAAACAATATATTATTGGTTTGCCTCTTTTAGAACTTTTAAAAATGGATCATACTATATGTATTCTTTTGTGAATCTACCATACATATTTTTCTTGCTTTTTAAATCTATAACTGTCTTTTCTTTCTTTAGGCTGGAAAAAATGAAAAAAGAATATAGAGATCTGCCTACATGGAGAGAAAAAGCTGCGTATTTAGAAGGAATTCTTAACCCCAAATTGGGACCTAGTGAACCTAAGGTAATTAACATAATATGTTCTCCCATATAGAACTTTTAATAATTTTTATTTTAAAAGATTATGATAATTAAAAGTGATGATCAAGAATTATTTATGTTCTTGATATAAAAAAATGTTATTTATGGTTCATGCACTCTACTACTTTGATAATGTGACATTCAATAAATATTGATTGATAATTTATAAGGTTTAGTATTTTAACAGCTTGTTGAGATATAATTTATATAGTATATAATTCACCCATTTAAAGTGTATAATTCACCCTAGCCAGTTTGGCTCAGTGGATAGAGTGTCAGCCTGTGGACCGGAGGGCCCCGGGTTCCTTTCTGGTCAAGGGCACATGCCTGGGTTGTGGGCCCGATCCCCAGTAGGGGGCGTGCAGGAGGCAGCCAGTCAATGATTCTCTCTCATCATTGATGTTTCTATCTCTCTCTCCCTCTCCCTTCCTCTCTGAAATCAATAAAAATACATTTTAAAACAAAAAAAGAATGTTACCTTTTCTCAAAGCATCAATACAAGATTACTTAAAAATGTAATAAAGTGTACAATTCAGTGACTCTTAGTATATTCACAGAGTTGTGTGTCCATTATTACAATCAATTTTAGAACATTTTCATTACCCCCCAAAAAACCCCACACCTCTTAGACTACATCCTTCAAGTTCCCATGTGCCTTAGCCTTACTTTCAGTCTCTGTAGGTTTGCTTGTTTCAGACATTTTTTATAAATGAAATCATACAATATATGGTCCTGTATGACTTGCTTTTTTAACTTAGCATAGTGTTTTCAAGGTTCATCTTTGTTGTAGCATGTATCAATACTTTATTTCTTATATTGCCAAATAATATTCCATTTTATAGATATGCAGCATTTTATTTATCTGTTCTTCAGCTGATGGGCATTAGGTTGTTTCCACTTGGTAGCTATTATGAATAATGCTGCGTATGAACATTTGTGTACAGGTTTTTATGTGAACATTTGTTTTTAATTTGGTGGTGGTGATGGGGGATATACATGGAGTAGAATTTCTGGATCACATAGTAATTCCCTGTTTAACTTTTTTAGGAATTACCAAACTGTTTTCCACAGCAGCTGCACAATTTTACCTTCAATTAGCAATGCATGAGAGTTCAACATCTTCTCCAACATTTACTTTCCCTTTTAAAAAATATAGCTGTTGTAGTGATTTTGAAGTGGTATCTCATTGTAGTTTTGATTTGCATTTCTCTAATGACCAATGATGTGAGCATCTTTTCATGTGCTTACTGGTCATTTGTATGCCTTCTTGGATAAATGTTTTTTCAAATCCATTGCTAATTTTAAAAACTGTGTTATTTGTATTTTTATTGATGAGTTGTAAGAGTTCTTTACAAATTTAGACCCTTATCAGATATATAAGTAAGGTTTAATATTTAGAAATGTAGTCTAACCTCTATTTTAATCTGGCAATAAGGATTCACAGGGATTTCAGTAGATAGATAAACCAATGAAATGAAATGGTAGTTATAACATATTAACATATTCATGATTTTTAATACCTCTGCTATAATTGGGCAGAGTTCTGCTGCTATGGAATAAATTGATTAGCATTACCAAAGTGAATGGATATTTTAGGAAAGTTTTGGGGGTTCTTCATTAAAGGGATTATGGACTTTGGGTTCTTATTGAAAAATCAGTATTTTATAAATAAGTGTGATTACTCTACCTTATAATTCTTCTTGGAATTTTGTAAAGATCCACATCACTTATCAACTCATAGGCCTTAATGTATTTTAATAAAAAGGTCATCTGTTTCCTCTCACAGTCCTTGAAGTTACATTATGTCATTTATCTTATAATCTTTTTCTCTCATACAATCATCATTACTAAATACCCTATCAATTCCCGAGTATCCTCTCCCTGGACCTTCAAGTCCGAGCCAGATCTACCTCTCTTTAAAATAGTGCTGTTTGAATAGAGAAACCAAGATGGCGGCATAGGTAAACACCGAAGATTGCTGCCTCGCACAACCACTTCAAAAATACAACTAAAAGACGGAACGGACATCATCCAGGACCACAGGAAGGCTGGCTGAGTGGAAATTCTACAACTAGAAGGAAAGAGAAAAGCATACCGAGACTCAGAGGAGGTGCGGTGCGGAAGTAAAATACAAAGGTGCGAAGGTGCATGCGGAGAGGGCTGGCGGCTGAGGACACGATTGTCTTTTTCAATTGGGAGGGAGTCTCAAGCTCTGAGCTCCAGTTCCGGACGAGTCTCTGGGGACCCAGACTCATGTGGGAGAAACGGGACTGTCTGGCATCAGTCGGAACTCGAGGGCAGCTTTCTCTCGGAGGCGCTCGCAGTGATTGCCAGGACACTGAGAAGCAGGGCCTCTGAGGGCAGGACTGAGAGCAGCCATAACTGCTTGTTCCGCCCACCCTGTTGATCCCCTGGGACCCCGCCCCGCCCAGGCCGTACACTGAGGCTTTTGCATATGAAAGGCCCGGCCCTTTGCAGTCTGAAAATTACTTAACAAACTGCAGCTGGCCCAAGGCCCCACATCAACTTGCATTGCTTCACAGCTGGCTTCTGCTGGGTAGCCTCAGGCAGAGGCTAGATTAGCACCTCCTTAGAGATCCAGGAGCTAGTGTGCCTGGTGGTCAGTGTGGGACCATCCAGATTACAGCTCCTCGGATCCATAAAGGACACACTCGGGGCAGACTCAGTGAGCACCAAAGCCCCACTGAAGCAAGTCTTGCCCCAGAAGGGTGTCTCTAGCACAGAAGTTCTCCCACTGCAGAAACAGCTGATTCTCACAGCCAATTGGCCTGGAGGTCAATCCCTCCCAGTGTTACCTACAACAATCAAGGCTTAACTACAGCAAGACTGTGCACAAAGCTCACAAGGGGGTGCACCAATAGTGTCTACCTCAGGGAACTGGAATACTTAGCACAGAAAGCCACTCTATCGACACAGTGAAGCATAAAAAATGCCGAGACAAAGAAACAGGACACAAATGACAGAAATGGAGGAAAGCAAACTACTGGATATAGAGTTCAAAACCACACTTTTTAGGTTTTTCAAGAATTTTCTAGAAACCACCGATAAATGTAGTGAGATCCTCAAGAAATCTAGTGAGACCCTTGATGTTGTGATAAAGGACCAACTAGAAATTAAGCATACACTGACTGAAATAAAGAATATTATATAGACTCCCAATAGCAGACCAGAGGATCGCAAGAATCAAGTCAGAGATTTGAAATACGAAGAAGCAAAAAACACCCAACCGGAAAAGCAAAATGAAAAAGAATCAAAAAATACGAAAATAGTGTAAGGAGCCTCTGGGACAGCTTCAAGCGCACCAACATCCGAATTATAGGGGTGCCAGAAGAAGAGAGAGAGCAAAATATTGAAAACCTATTTGAAGAAATAATGACAGAAAACTTCCCCTACCTGGTGAAAGAAATAGACTTACAAGTCCAGGAAGCACAGAGAACCCCAAACAAAAGGAATCCAAAGAGGACCACACCAAGACACATCATAATTAAAATGCCAGGAGCAAAAGACAAAGAGAGACTCTTAAAAGCAGCAAGAGAAAGAGGCTTAATTACCTACAAGGGAGTACCCATACGACTGTCAGCTGATTTCTCAACAGAAACTTTGCAGGCCAGAAGGGAGTGGCAAGAAATATTCAAAGTGATGAATACCAAGAACCTACAACCAAGATTACTTTATCCAGCAAAGCTATCATTCAGAATTGAAGGTCAGATAAAGAGCTGCACAGATAAGGAAAAGCTAAAGGAGTTCATCACCACCAAACCAGTATTATATGAAATGCTGAAAGGTATCCTTTAAGAAGAGGAAGAAGAAGAAAAAGGTAAAGATACAAATTATGAACAACAAATACACATCTATCAACAAGTGAATCTGAAAATCAAGTGAATAAATAACCTGATGAACAGAATAAACTGGTGATTATAATAGAATCAGGGGCATAGAAAGGGAGTGGACTGACTATTCTTCGGGGGGAAAGGGGTGTGGGGGATGCGGTAAGAGACTGGACAAAAATTGTGCACCTATGGATGAGGACAGTGGGGGGGGTGAGGCCGGAGGGTGGGAGGGGAACCTGGTGGAGGGCAGCTATGGGGGGAAAAAAGAGGAACAACTAATAATCTGAACAGTAAAGATTTAATTAAAAAATAAAATTAAATAAATAAATAAAATAGTGCTGTTTGGTTTGCTTTTCTCACAGACCCAAATCCTTCTTGTCTTCTGTACATTAAAAATATGTATTAAAAGTTATGAAGGCAGAGAAAAATGTTTCGCTCTTTAAACATTTGTCTAATATATTTTTTCTTTCTTTCTTTCTTTCTTTCTTTCTTTCTTTCTTTCTTTCTTTCTTTCCTTTCTTTCTTTCTTCTTTCTTTCTTTCTTTTTTCTTTTCTTTTCCTTTCTTTCTTTCTTTCTTTCTTTCTTTCTTTCTTTCTTTCTTTCTTTCTTTCTTTCTTTCTTTCTTTCTTTCTTTCTTTCGTTCTTCCCTTCCCTTCCCTTCCCTTCCCTTCCCTTCCCTTCCCTTCCCTTCCCTTCCCTTCCCTTCCCTTCCCTTCCCTTCCCTTCCCTTCCCCTCCCTTCCCTTCTCTCTCTCAAGGAGGTGGTTTCTCTATTTCTACAGCTCCCTCCCTTTGCTTGCTTTCCACCTTAACTGATGATAATAAATAAAGTCCGCCCCTTGTTGCTGGAAATGCTAGAGTCACTCAACGCCCCCCCCTCCTGTCCCCCCCCCCCCCCCAACCCCCTTGAAAAGGGCACAGGCCTTTCCAGGCCGGGCCCCCCTTTTATAAGAAGAACTGGATTTGAGCCCAGCTCCCCCCTTTTTTTTTTTTCCCGCCGCCCCCCCCCACTGTTGACCCCCAGGTAAAGAAAGCCTACAGCCCTTAAAGCCTAAAAAACCCCCTTCTCACTCTGTTGTAGCGACTCCCAACCCGTAGACTGACACTCTTTTGAGTATAAGAAGAGCCATCAAAAGACTTGCGAAAGATCGTCGATAAAAAAAA